CCAGCCCTTTCATCCCCATCAAAGCAGCAGCCAGGGTCACGTTCGTGATTTCAGGAGGTAGTGATAACGACACGGAATTTTTAAGGTTGCGGAATACTGGACTTTCTGTGTAAACAGGGGAGGAGCTTCCGGAACCTTCAAATCTTCTTGCTGTCTCGGTATTCCCTCCCCCCCCACTTGACAGGTCTTTTGGAGATGGTAGGTAGGTTCCACACGTGACTATATCGCATATATTATCGCGCATATTAATCCCGAAATTTGCCCAAATCATTGGACGACTCCGTAGTTGGGCGAGATCACGACAGTGCCTACGCTATGACTGTTCTACGGTTAATTCACTTACCTCTCGTGGTTTCTCGACGACGTACGTCCTTCTCCAAGTATTGTAGGGAACCGAGTCACCATGATCGGACGCTTCAGAAAGTGCCGAAATAGGCCTCGTCTCGTAAACCCGTATTCGATGCGGATCCGGACCAAAATCCTAAAACCGAAGCTTTGTTGCCACATTCAAATCCAAAGCTTCCGCCACCATCAAGTCAAGTTCATAACATGGCCCTACAGTAAAGCGTAAAGTTGAAGTACAAGTAGAACGTTTTTAATACATCTCAAATTCAGAAAAAAGTTGGGGGTAATGGTATCGATTTCCTAAACTACTACGGGAATTCTGTTAAAGCTAACCGGCGACTGATAGTCTGGAGCTGGCGAGTGAGGGAATCCGTAGTTACTGCCGTAGGGATTGTGATCGACGTCGATGAACGGTACCGGTGAAACGACGCCGTGACGTTGTTCGTACAGGCGTTGTTGTTGGATTTGCATTGCTCGCATCTGAACAGCTATTTCATAAGAATATTTATTCATTTATTAGTATCTGTTTCATTCATAATACCTATTTCATGGAACCCTTTTTAACCAATATTAAATCTCAGACTGTGAAAGGAATTAGATTACGCAAATAAATGGCAGTTTTGGAACTTTTTTTGCTAAGCAAAAGTTTTTTTTCATTGGATCAAGGAATTTGAGCTATTTCATGAACCAATATTGGATCCTATGGCTTTTTAGCCATTGAAAACCAACTTTTTGATTTTCCTAGATATTTTGTTTTATCAATAGTCATTATCCCAAACACATTGAAGACCGCACAGTTTCAGGATTGATGGCCACGTAGAACTTCAGGAAGGGTTTGGAAAGGTTGGAAAGAAAAATATCGTATGATTAGAGGAAAACTTTTCGAGTAAGAAGGTCGAAAAACAAAAGGGAAGCTGAGTATCTCTTGCCAAAACATGGTCTGCAGTCCTATGCGGCCGGCTGACTGAGCCCAAATATGGGTTGTATGGTCTCAAAGCTGTTATTATAATCGCTACCAAATCCTCCCAGGATTCGATAGTATAAGTACATGGACAGTTTTGAGACAAGAGGAATGTCCAAAGAATCAAGCAAAGGAGGCCTCTACTTATGAGGCAAGACTCTCTGTTGTGCACGCTGAGTCAACGTGTCAAGAAACATGGGGAACTACATCATTTCAATATGACATTTTTATTTGGAAATTTTAGATTTCCTGGTTCGTGTGCTGTCGTACTGCAGATTTATCAGTAATACCGGATGAATAGTATGGGGGGGGGGGGTGTTCCTCAACAGAAGTTGGCCCGTTTGTAAAGTTAGTGGCGACGTGGACCCAGTGGTACTCATTTTGCATCCTTTTACTTATTGAGATGATGAATAGAATCATGCGCTGACCTGCTTAGTCATTGCTTGCAGTTTCTCTTCTTCATGTCGTCGCATCGCTTCTTCTTCCATTTGTTTCTGACGGCGGTATTCAGCTATTCGATCGGGGTCTGAAGAAGTGCCTTTTACATGTTGCTTTTCAAATGCAAACCTTCACTTTTTACTCGCCCATTATGGCTTATCTAAATGCCTGACTTCATTCTAATAATGAGAACACAGGTGAAACTTCAGTGAAATTGAGGAAAGCAGCCACAGTCATGCGACCGTGGACAAAAGTAAATAGTAATCAAACGCAAATAAATAGCAGTTCAGCAGCCTCAAAGGAAGGAAGTTATGATGTATAGCCGGAGAGCTCACCAGTAATTTTTCTGGACATGACCGAGTGAGATCGGGGTGTTTTCTTGTCGTTCAGTGGCGGCCAAATCACAACCGTTGCATCCTGAAATTCTATGTATAGCTAATTAGTTTTTCTTCTCCCAAGGCGCTAACATTGACCACTAAAGTCTCTCAGGGTTGTGTGCATGGAATATGGAACTATGCTTCATTTTCCCTGAGCTTTTTTCCTCTGAACGGGAAAAACGCGACAAAAAATTTGTTCATGGTTCGATCTTGCGTGGTAACAAATTTTTGCATTTTTGAGTGACGTTGCGTGATGTCCCAAAATGGTACCCGCGGCTAGTAATGGGGGCTTACACATTACTATCACGACCATCAGTAACCCACATGAGAGGTTCTTGCCCAAGATCGATGTCAAAAGGTGAGGCGCTTGAGCTTTCTTGACCAAATTCTTGGTGTTCAGAGTGTCGCTCAGTAAAAATAATTCATAGTTCTGTATTTCATGCATGTGCCTCTTCATCATGCGAGAAAACCGTTTTTCAAAAAAAAGGTGGGGACGGCCTAAAAGACCTTGCTGGTAAGGCTTACTCAACTCAGAAATTCCAAAACTCAGAGCTCGATATTTTCCAAGTTGAAATACCTTTGAGAATTGAAATCTTTTGACCCGTCTCAATATTATACTCGTTGATCGAATCAGTCTCCTCACCTTTATATTACTGAGCTCAGCTTCGGATGCAGATATGGTTCTGCTTTCGGCAAACGACATCCCACTACCGTTTCTTTCTCTCGAATAGTCCCTGTGATTCGGACTACCGTTGCATAGCTGTCCTTCATTTGACCTGGAATCAAACTTTTGAGTCTGATACCTGTTTCTGGTTGAGTGACTGGTCTGGTGAAATAGTGAAGCAAAACCTCACCTAGGAGGGTTCACTTCCTCGAGCTTGAAGAAAGGTCCATTAAATGAAGTGACCGGTGGTTTGGGCGTGGTAGCACGACCTCTTCGATGTCTCTCAAGGTTCTCCTGCATTATACGGTAGCGCTCTTCTTCGGGGAGATCGTTGAAGTTGGTACTCTTTGGTCGGTTTTGATAAGGTCCATCTCCAGATGCCTAAATTATGATGAGTCTTATCTCTTTGAT